GGGTTCTTGATAGTGGGTAACAGGATTTATTCTCATTTGCCCTAGAAAAAGAAGCACAAGTCACAGTAACATTTGCCAAGTTTCCAGTTGCACGCGAAAGTCAAACGATTTCACCCTTACTCACATTTTACTTAAACATAGTTCCAATCAATTGATTCTGTCAGAAATGGGAACCGACTTGCTCCAACAAAACAAAAATAAAGAAGTGGTATCATGAGAAATGCATTCTGAAGTTCTTTTACCACCATGCCCAATCACTCCTCTTTTATGAGAAATTTACTCGTCTCTGGTGGGCGGTTGGAATGGTAAGTCTCTCAACAACTTAGTGCTGCCTGACTGTCTGTTAGATTCCAGCAACAAGCTTTTAACGTTTTTTACTATCTTAGGCACTTTTTTTTCATTTTTGTTTGTTTTTCGAAGACAGGTTGGTTGCAATAATAAATTATATTCAATGTTCAGTTTTATTGATTGCGCTTATTTATATTATGATTATTTTGTCACACATTACTCTGACCCACTGCCTCTATGCCATGTACAGCATGCTCCTCCACTTCTTTCCCTTATATTTTTCCACATTTAAATGTACTCCTTTGTGTAACAGATAAGCCTTTTCTCGGGCTGCTATTTATTAGATTCCATCAACTGAAATATCTGCAGAATATGGCTTCTCTCAGCCCTGATGGCACTATGTTTACATGTGTTACGGATCTCCTACAAGACCCTCTAGCTCAGCTTCCACCTGCAGATATGGAAGACCCTGTCTCTGCTGCTTCATTACTCCTCTGCAAAAGCAGTCTCCACCAACCGTCTCCAGCTTCTCTTGCTCTTCTGCAATAATTTCTAACCACTGTCAAACCATAAAAAGTGGCTGTTTTAGCAAATGAACTGAAGGAAGATGACTGGCATGATTTTATCCGCTTTATGATTCATCATATAAGCTGCTTTTAACACTGTAATTTTAATTATTAAATTGACATGTCTATTTTTGCCTTTGCTTTTGGATCTGTGTTACCCTTTGCTCACATAGCCTTCATGGCAACCAACCATTTCATAGTCTTAAGCATGATATAAAAATAATGCAGAGGTGAGTGCAAAAGAAGGCACTCAAATTTGAAAGTCATTTATTAAAAAACGAACACATATAACCAATACACAAAAGTTTTTGTCCATAAGTGGAACTGTCTGACACAACATGAGAAATCTGTTCTAGTAAGGCAGTCAGGTGGATTAATGAGCTACATCATTGCCAGATATACACACCGAATTTGATTCAGTGATATATCACTGAAATCCTACTATTTCAAGAATCTTGAATTAAAAGGAAACAAAACACTTCTTTTGGAATACTGGTTAATCAAAATTGGAATCAGTGAAAAAATGAATTTGACATAGGTACGTGTATGCCAGACCTCCAGTCATAACAGGCTTGGCGATGTTGTCAAATGTCTGCCAATACACACCTGCCGTTGGCCTGCGGCGCTGGTCTGCCTAAGAACAATTTGGGCAGAAATACTTTGGGGAAGAAACACATCGTCATATGGACCTGTGGCTGGCATGAGACTATATGCCTGCCTTCCTGTACCACTAGTGGCGGGCCGAGGACATACCTAATAACCCTGCAAAATGTCAGCCACATCGGCCTAGCCGTTCAGAAGTAGTGCTGATACACACACACACACACACACAGACAGAAAATACTTTTCAAACCCACTCAAGGAACTATCAAAATAAGGACCTCTGTGGATTCGACATAGGTTTGTAAATTTTTGGATCCAAAGGTACTTTTGGATCAAAAGAAGTTACATTTTTCAAAACAGCAGCATACTTCCGTCTTAAAACAGATATGCAATGGGTGATTGAGCTTTTGTGTAGTGCATGCACATGATGGATTAGTAGACTGAAACCTTGACCTTTAACACCATATTTAAATGCAACAGAGCATTTTGGGCATTGCAAGAGCACCCCAAATCTTTCATGAAACTGCAGTGCCAGTATACTGCGCTTACGTCTCTTGGGGCTTGATTGCACTGTACATTGTTTTGACAATTTTTGCTGTGTCTTTTCCTCACAATGTCTACTTATAACATTGATTTGAGATGGGCTTTCAGCGGCCTCACTAACAATCATGCCACAGTCTTGCAAGTCAAACATCCCACTCCCATCAGGAAAACTGTCTTCTGCGAGCAATGGCTCCTCCTTTATAATAATCTACAAACCAAAGTAAAAAAAAACAGTAGGAAATATGCAAAAGTAGGGCGGGAATCAAACAGATTTAATTTGTAGCATTTATAATTCAAGCTTACCTGATTTTCTGAGAAAGAGATATTTTTATTGCATTGATGAACATTACAAATAAAATCTTGCAGGCAGGGTGAGAATTTGTTGGTTACATGATGGTATCTTAGTTGTCCATACGTAACAGCTGACACATTGCTTGAAATTGTTTCCGATTCCATGAAGTTGTTCTCCTGAGCATCACTTAAAAATCCAAAGGAAGTATATAGTCAGATGGCAAAGACTCATCAGGTAAAAAAAATTTTATCAAGCAGATACCTACCGTTTTGGATATATGATGAATGTTTCAGGGATCTCATTAACCCCTTGATTTGTTGCCAAAAAACTAGATGTGACAAATCCACCTGGTTTCACAATTATCTGTCAAAGGCAATGAACAAAATTAGACTATATTCATAAGATAATACACTTTAGCACAGAAGACAAAGGCCAGCGTACAATATTCAATGGGGCATCTGCTTTGGGGCCCGACTCAACATGCTTGAAACTTGAAACTTCAGTTCCATGATTTACTAATGTGGCACTCAATCTTGATGGAATAAGGTTATGAAGCTGGGCAACATAGTCAAAGATATCTTGAAATTCCTCATGTATCAAAAACCTGCAAACAAATTAGGCACAGGGGAAAACGCAGAGAGAGAAGACATCACTTATTTGAAAAACGAAAAGCTTGGTCACAGCAAGTTCTTACCATTTATTAGACAAGGAATCCCTAGCCAAATCAGAAAGCAGTGCGGTATCATTTGGAAGCATCAACCATTCTACTTTACATGCCTCATTTGTTATATTTACACATGGCACGGCAACACCTCCATCAATAACATATATTTTCTCTGCAGCTGTCTGCAATCGATCGAATGCGGACGTGTCACAAATGTAGAGGGATGTTCTTTTATTGCACCAAATCCTACCATCAATCCAAGTGCACGTTACTTTGGCTTCGCAAGAAAGGTTTAAGTCAGTGACACAATGATATTGTCCATGGTGCCTGATTGACAGACAAAATGCATTCACAGCAGCTTTTAATAGATTTGGATCCATGACTTGGCACAAGGCCTGTTCGGTCTCTGCTGCTTGCCAACCAAAAACAGCCTGGAAGACATGAAAACCAAATCAAACAGTTGACAAAAAAAACAAGCAGTTTGAAAAAAATGCAGTTCCACCTGAAACATCAGGTTAAAATGACAAAGCATGGATGGAGTGAGCGACAAAGTGAAGAAATACATCATTTGAAATAAAGAGATTGCAACAGAATTGAAACACCGTTTTAGAGGAAATGACAAGTAAGTGCTGGAGGTTAAGGGGTCGGCTGCTGCATGCTTGTGCCGCTCAAAAGCTGTAACAAACTATCAAATAGATAAAAGGTGCCCAAGTTCTTACGTCTTGTGTGAGAGTTCGAGTTTGTTTGCTGATGAACTTCTGAAGCTCATGCCAAAACCAAATTTAAGCCAGGCCAAAGCCTAAGATGCTCGCATGATGCTCGCCTCGCATCTCTTTCCTTTCGGCAGTGAATAGTTGCTTCTGGGCTACTACAAGGCGCTGACTGCATGCGACGTTACCATCCACATTCTGTTTACCTCAAAACCTTTCACACCACAGCAACAGCGACCGTCTCGCATCTATTTTAGTAATTTAATTTTAGAATAAGATCAATTGGAAGAATTTATTGGACGAATGGAAAACTAAGGTGAAGACAAGCAGCCGACGGCCCGGCAGACGACGCGCTGCGCGGCAACCCGCCGCACTGTAGATTAGGTAACAGTAACATAACACACATTTAAAAAAAATGGACTTTCATTAAACGCCTGAGTCCCTAAACGACAGTTCTTGCAGGAGTTATTTTCAAATTCGTTTTTTAAAGAGCATTTTATTTATATTTATAGGATAATATTATACGCAGGAGCGCCCCTGCGAACAACGGCTTTAAAACATATGTACAGGAGTGAAGCTCCTGCGATCAAGGGCCCTATCCATTGTGTGCAGGAGCAAGCCTCGGGGGCCTACTCCTGCGGACAAGGGCTAATTGCATTGCATGCAGGAGTAGGTCCTGGAGCCTACTCCTGCGGACAAGAAGCAAAAATGTTATGCACAGGAGCAAGCCCCTGGAGAATACTCCTGCGAACAAAAACCGAAAAACGTTATACGCAGGAGCGGGTCCCCGGAGAAGACCCTGC